CGACCGAAAGGCGGCGGGCGTGCGCAGGTCGACCAGTGCAGCCGACGGACGAGCGAAATCAAACAAAAACAAGCAAAACCAGTGAATTGGGCCAGCCGAGGGGCCGAGCGACCGAACGGCGGCGGGCGGGCCTGGGGCGACCAGCGCAGCCGACGGACAAGCGAAAACAAGCCGAAACAAACAAGACCAATGAATGGGGCCAGCCGAGGGGCCGAGCGACCGCGGGGCGGCGGGCGGGCCTGGGGCGACCAGTGCAGCCGACGGACAAGCGAAAACAAACAAAAAACAAACAAAACCAATGAATTGGGCCAGCCGATGGGCCGAGCGCCCGCGGGGCGGCGGACGAACCTGGGGCGACCAGTGCAGCCGACGGACAAGCGAAAACAAGCAGAAACAAACAAAACCAGTGAATTTGGCCAGCCGAGTGGCCGAGCGCCCGCGGGGCGGCGGGCGAGCCTGGGGCGACCAGCGCAGCCGACGGACAAGCGAAAACAAACAAAAACAAACGAAACAGTGGAAAGGGGCAACCCGAGGGGCCGAGCGACCGCGGGGTGGCGGGCGAGGCTGGGGCGACCAACGCAGCTGACGGACAAGCGAACACGAACAACAACAAACAACATCAGGGAATTGGGCCAGCCGAGGGGCCGAGCGAGAGAACAGCGGCGGGCGAGCCTGGGGCGACCAGTGCAGCCGACGGACAAGCGAAAACAAACAAAAACAAGCAAAACCAATGCATTTGGCCAGCCGAGGGGCCGAGCGACCGCGGAGCGGCGGGCGAGCCTGAGGCGACCGGTGCAGCCGACGGACAAGCGAAAACAAACAGAAACAAAGAAAGCCAGGGAGTGGGGCCAGCCGAGGGGCCGAGTGACCGAAAGGCGGCGGGCGAGCCTGGGGCGCCCAGTGCAGCCGACGGACAAGCGAAAACAAACAAAAACAAACAACATCAGGGAATTGGGCCAGCTGAGGGGCCGAGCGACCGAACGGCGGCGGGCGGGCCTGAGACGACCAGTGCAGCCGACGGACAAGCGAAAACAAACAGAAACAAAGAACGCCAAGGAATGGGGCCAGCCGAGGGGCCGAGCGACCGCGGGGCGGCGGGCGGGCCTGGGGCGACCAGTGCAGCCGACGGACAAGCGAACACAAACAAAAACAAACAAAACCAAGGAATGGGGCCAGCCGAGGGGCCGAGCGACCGCGGGGCGGCGGGCGTGCGCAGGGCGACCAGTGCAGCCGACGGACAAGCGAAAACAAACAGAATCAAACAAAACCAGTGAATTCGGCCAGCCGAGGGGCCGAGCGACCGAACGGCTGCGGGCGGGCCTGGGGCGGCCAGTGCAGCCGACGGACAAGCGAAAACAAACAAAAACAAACAAAACCCATGCATTTGGCCAGCCGAGGGGCCGAGCGACCGAAAGGCCGCGGGCGGGCCTGGGGCGACCAGTGCAGCCGACGGACAAGCGAAAACAAACAGAAACAAACAAATCCAACGCATTTGGCCAGCCGAAGGGCCGAGCGACCGAAAGGCTGCCACTGCGATCGACGGACAAACGAAAACAAGCCAGAACAACCGAAACCAGCCAAGGAATGGGGCCATCCGAGGAGCCAAGCGACCTAGCGCTACTGCGCGCCGCTGAGACAGGGCCCGGAAATTTGCAATCTACTTCTTGTAATTGCTGTTGCTGTTGTTTTTTTGGGCGGCCCCGAATGCAATCTACTTCTTCCGCCTTCCTACTTCATGTTTCTACCTACTTCTTCCGACCGGTGGGTACCCCAGCCCCTCCCTCTGGACGCCGCCATGGAAGCTATCCAGTCTCAGGTGCTCCCAGAGGCTTTTGCCGAGGAAGGGCTCCCTCCGCCGCCCCAAGGAATTCGTGAGCTCAAGGGTAGGTTGTACGGCGCCGGTAGCTGCCAGGGGCACGTATCAGAGACCTCTCTCGATCTGGCTGGGGAGTGGCGATGGTCAATGAGACGGGTAGGCTCCTGGCCAGGTATTTCGGCCCTCTGGGCAACTCGCTCCCCCAGACCAGTGTGGCTGCTGAGTTTGCGGCCCCTCTTGCTGTTGCATCCTTGCTGTCGGGCGACGCGGTTTTTTACTCAGGCTGTCAGGCGGTAGTCAGTCACCACGCCAGACCTCCTGGGGACCGCACGCACCCGAGGAGACCTTACAGTGGCCTGGTGTTTCAGACACATGCGTTTGCTGGGAGGCGTTTACGGGCTATTCGGAGGGTGAAGGCTCACCAGGCAGAGAATCGTGGTCTGCCCCCCGACGAGCTTGTCCACGCCATAGGATAGGCAACAACGCGGCCGACCTCGCGGCTAAGGCTGGTGCGGCTCTGCGCCCAGCGCCTTCGGAGGCTGAGTGGAGGGGCATCATTTGTTTGTGCTCTGTTTCGCGGGCTGTCACTCTTTTTGCAGCCAACCTCATGGAGCAGTGGCCTCGGACGAATCTGGAGGGGGTGTGTCGTGTCGTGCAGCCCCCCCCGTCGCGTGCTGAGGAAGATCCGAGGCCACCTCACCAGTGGGAGCTGATTGGCTCCCCACCGCGCTCGTTCTGGCAGTGTTTTACGTGCCTGCGAGTTGCCAGGTCAAGGTCTTTGCCCGACCCTGGTTGCTGCTCCCAGCTGCCGCGCATCGAGCCTCGGGCTCTTCGTGGCCTGGGTCACAGGTGCATAGCAGTGGATTGCAGTGACCGTTATTTTATCTGTATCTGCCAGAGGTGTGGCTGTTTCACCTCTGGGGCACGCCTCGCGAATCTCGCGAAGCTTTGCGCGCCTGTCTCGCATTCCCAGAAATGCGAGAGTTGGAGGTTGCTTGGCAAGGGATTCCACTCCAAGAGGGCTGGGATCACAGCCGACACCTCTACATTTTGCCCCCTGGATGTCAAACAACATCCTCCTCCTCCTCCTCCTCCTCCTCCTCCTCCTCCTCCTCCTCCTCCTCCTCATCCACACATAATAATTGTGTGTGTGCCTCCTCCTCCTCCGCCTCTCCTCTCCTCCTTCCTCCCCCTCCCCTCCTCCTCCTCCTCCTCCTCCTCCTCGCTCCTCCTCCTCCTCCTCCTCCTCCTCCGCCTCGCCTATTTCCTCTCCTCCTCCTCCTCATCCTCCGCCTTTTCTCCCTTCCTCCTCCTCCTGCTCCTCCTCCTCCTTCCTCCTCCTCCTCCTCCTCCCCCTCCTCCTCCCTCCTCCTCCTCCTCGCTCCTCTTCCTCCTCCTCCCTCCTCCTACTCCTCCTTACCTCTTCCTTCCCCTCTTCCTCCGCCTCCTCTCTCCTCCTCCTCCTCCTCCCCTCCGTCTCCTCCTCCTCCTCTCCTCCTCCGCCTCCTCGTACTCCTCCTCCTCCTCCTCCTCCTCCTCCTCCTGCTCCTCTCCTCCTCCTCCTCCTCCTCCTCCTCCTCCCCCTCTTCCTCCTCCTCCTCCTCCTCCTCCTCCTCCCCTCCCCCTCCGCCTCCCCCTCCTCCGCCCCCTCCTCCTCCTGCCCTCAGGGCAGGCTGCGGCGGCCTAGCTCCGTGCGCAGGCCTTGCCGACCATCGAGCGCCGCCGCGGGTTCCGCCTTGCGTTCCGGGGCGCCCCGCGGCTCAGTTCCGCAGTTGTCGATCCTGCGCCTCCTCCTCCTCCTCCTCTCCTCCTCCTCCTCTTCCTCCTCCTCCTCCTCCTCCTCCGCCTCCTCTTCCTCCCCCTCCTCCCCCCCCTCCTCCTTCATTCCCTTTCCTTAGAGATAGTTTTTCCCTGTCGCACCCCGGGGCCCGTCGAAAGGGCGGGCCGCGCGTGTCGCCTGAGATTGCCTCACCACTGATGACCCTAATGCTTAAAAACTGACAACAGCTTCACAGATGGAGGGTTGGCCGTTTTCAAAATATGGCTCTCGTTTTCGCGCCGCGCGCATTCGCTTCAAAAGCTGACAACAGCTTCACGGATTGAGGGCGGGTCGTTTTCAACATCGGCTCTCGCCTTAGCGCTGCGCGCACTCGTTTCAAAATGTTGGAAGAATTTCACCGGTTAAGGGCAGGTGGTTTTCAAAATGCACAGCTCACGCCTCTGCGCCGCGCGCATTCGCTTCAAACATTTGGAAGGATTTCACGGGTGGAGGGCAGGTGGTTTTCAAAATGCAGCTCTCGCCTCAGCGCCGCGCGCGTTCGTTTACAACACATTGCAGGAGCTTCACGGATCGAGGGCGAATCATTTTCAAAATGTGGTTCCCGCCTTAGCGCCGCGTGATTTCGGTTCAAAAATTGACAACAGTTTCACGGATTGAGGGCGGCTCGTTTTCAAACTGTGGCTCTCGCTTCAGCGCCGCGTGCATTTGTTTTAGACGTTGCAAAAGCTTCACGGATTGAGGACGGTTCGTCTTCAAAATGCGGCTTTCGCTGTAGCGCCGCGCATATTCGTTTTGAAACATTTGCAAGAGCTTCACGGACTGATGGTGGATCGTTTTCAACATGTGGTTTTCGCTTGGGTGCCGCGCACATTCGTTGTAAACATGTGCAAGAGTCTTATGTCTTCTGTGTTCTTATGGTTAACGTGCCAGAGATGGTGTTTTGGAAGGTTCAGGGTTGTCATGGCGCAACAGTTCGATTGATTCGCTGTGTTGCAGTCCCGGGAATGGGCATTCAGGCACAATTCAGGATCGCCCAGACGTAACAGTCAGGTTCATGCGTGGCGTGGAAGTCCCGAGAATTGTGCTCTGGCATTCTTCAAGATGTTCACACGGTTGTACCCCAACGGGGCAATTCGTTCAGTGGAGAAAAAAAACACATTTCTAGGGGCCCATGGCGAGGGATCTTGGAGGGAGGGTGTATTCCAACATCGCTGATGAGCTTTGGGTTTACACTGGTCCTCCTCTTCCTCCTCCTGCTCCTCCTCCTCCTCCTCCTCCTCCTCCTCCTCCCTCCCCCTCCCCCCCCTCCTGCTCCAATCCCCTCCCCCTCTCCTGCTCCCCCTCCCCCTCTCCTGCTCCCCTGCCCCCACTCCTGCTCCTCCTCGCGCGGCCCCCTCCGCCGAGGAGGGGCCCGCGGACTGGCAGCTGCGCGTCGCCTCCCACGCCCGGGGCTCGGCGGGAGGGCCCTCCCACCGCGCGCCGATCGGCGCCCCGCGGGCCGCCGCCGACGACGGCGGCGACGGCGGCGGCGGCGGCGGCGGTGGCGGCGGCGACGGCGGCGACGACGACGACGACGGCGGCGGCGACGGCGGCGGCGGCGGCGATGGCGGCGACGACGACGACGACGACGACGACGGCGGAGTCGGTGTCGGCGTCGGCGGACGGCGACGGCGGCGACGGCGGCGACGACGGCGGCGACGGCGGACGGCGGCGATTACCTCGGCGTCAGCGTCGGCGGACGGCAGCGGCGGACGCCGGCGGCGACGCGGGACGGCCGGCCACGTGCCTCCGGGAGGGGCGCTCCCCGAGGGCCGCCGGCGGGCCCCCGCGCGGCCCGCCGGCCCCGCGGCCGGCGCTGAGATCCGACGCTGCGAAAAAATCGCAACGTCGCGACAAATCACGAGGGCTGGACGCGATCTGTCTGGAGGCCGTCTTCGGCGAGGCGCGCCTCGCCGAGGCGCCCCGCCCGCGCGCGGCCACGCCGGCGCCGCCGCTCGTCAGCAGGCAGCGGCGAAGCGTCTTGGCTTTCCCTGGAGCGTCTTCACTGGGCCCAGTCGTTCTGCGGCGCAGTGCAGTGTCCCTGAGAGTTGACGCTGCGAAGCAGTGTCGGCGCCGCGAAACGTCGCGACCCGAGCCCTGGATCCCATGTGTCTGCGGCATTGGTCGAGCCTGTGGTCGATCTGTGACGGCTCCCGGGGGCTAGAACTGCAGGAGGAGAGCTGTTTGGAAACGGCCAGGGCGTTATGGTGTTCCAGCCTACGTAGCCTACTTTAGCTTTGGTCACCAGAAACAATTTCGAGCACCAGGAGAGTACCAACATTGGAGAGTTTTCACGTTCGGGGCCCTGGGCTCCGGAGGCGATACTCGTTCGACACCGCTTCGAGACTTCTCTGGGTGCTCGAGATTGTTTCTGCATGTGGTCCTTAAGTACGATTGGAGCAACATAACCTGGGCGAAGAAGTTGCAACGCCCGGAACTCAGGGGGCGCCCCTGGAGGGTTTCTCCGAAGGGCTTAGGCGACCCGTTCTCCTCCTCCTCCTCCTCCTCCGCCTCCTCGTCCTCCTCCTCCTCCTCCTCCTCCTCCTCCTCCTCCTCCTCCTCCTCCTCCTCCCTCCCCCTCCTTCTCCTCCTCCTCCTCCTCCTCTCCTCCTCCTCCTCCTCCCTCCCCCTCCTCACCTCCTCCTCTTTCTCTCCTCCTCCTCCTCCTCCTCCTCCTCCTGCACCTCCTCCTCCTCCTCCCCCTCCTCCACCTCCTCCTCCTCCTCTTTCTCCCTCCTCCTCCTCCTCCTCCTCCTCCTCCTCCTGCACCTCCTCCTGCACCTTCCTCCTCTCCGCTCCTCCTCCTCCTCCTCCTCCTCTCCTCCGCCTCCTCTTCCTCCTCGTCCTCCTCGCCCTCCTTCTCCTTCACACCCTCCTCCTCCCCCTCCTCCTCCTCCACCCTCCTCCTCTTCACCTTCGCTCGGCAGCGGCGCGGCCGGGCGGTCGGCGGCTGGGCGAGCGGCGCCTCGAGCGGCCGAGCGGCGCTGGATCGCTCGAGCGCTGCTCGCCAGCGCCAACCTCGGGAGGGAAACACGGGCACAGGCACTCCTCCTCACGCACGCACGCACACTAAAGGCATGAAAGATTCGTTGCCTATCCCAGAAGCCAAAAATGGGGACAAGAGAAGAGGAGGCAGGGAAGGAAGAGATCAGTCAGCGTTGGGCCGGCTCCTGTTGAACAGAGCACAGTCGGCTCCACGCTCGACTTGGTGGTATGGGTCAAGGGGGACCACAA